TGGTAAGGGGCTAGACTTTCACTCCTTACTTTACACCGTTTGGATATTTGATTGATGATTAATGAAGAGTCTCCGAATATCCGTAACTTTTTTACTCCCAATGCCAAAGCTGTTTCAAGGCCTACCACGCATGCTTCGTATTTAGCAGCGTTGTTGGTAACGTCGAAATCAAGCTTTATGGAGATTCGAACATGCTCTTCTTTAGGTGATACTAGTAATACTCCAACGCAACATCCCTTTTGTTTTGAGGCTCCGTCGAAGTATAAGGTCCAAGTATCATCTTCAATGACCATTAAGTCTTCATCTGGAAATTCATTGTCTTACATTGGCGTCGAGTCTTCTATTGGAAAGTCCGCTAGAAAGTCTGACACCACATATCCTTTAATAGCTTTTTGCAGCATAAACCTTACATCAAACTGGGCTAAATTGACTATCCATCTTGATATGCGTCCATTGAGTGTAGATTTCTCGAATAGATACTTGAGTGGATCTAATCGGGAGACTACGAAGACTGTATGCTCTAACAAATAATGTCTTAACTTGGTTGTGGCCCACACCAAGGCGAGGCACAATTTCTTGACTGGTGTATAACGTGCTTCATATTCGACCATTTTCTTGCTTAGATAGTAGATCGCATTTTCTTTGCCTTCTACTTCTTGTGATAGCATAGCTCCCATTGTCTCTTTGGTAAGGGTTAAATACAACCTAAGAGGTATTCCCGGAAGTGCTGGCGCTAATACGAGAGGATTTGCGAGATAGGCTTTGATCTTTTCGAAGGCTTTTTCACACTCGTCATCCCATATTACTGGTACATTTTTCTTAAGCTTTTTAAAGATTGGTTCGCATATCGTTGTCAATTTTGATATGAACCTACTTATGTATTGCAACCGGCCAATGAATCCTCGAATCTGCTTCTCGGTTTTAGGCAGTGGCATTGACATGATTGCTTTGATCTTGGTTGGGTCTATCTCTATTCCTCTAGAGCTTATGACATAACCGTTGCCTGAGGTGACTCCAAAAGCACACTTAGATGGGTTCAACCTCTTATTGTATTTTCTTAGCCTTTCGAAAAATTTTCTTAAGGCTACTTGATGGCCTGGGCGGTCTTTTGATTTTACAATCATGTCGTCCACATACACTTCGACTTCTTTATGCATCATGTCATGTCATGGAGTAAGGCAGTCGCTGCACGTTGGTAAGTAGCACCCTCGTTTTTCAACCCGAATGGCATTACCGTGTAGTAGTAAGTGCCCCATGGTGTTATGAAGGTTGTTTTCTCCATGTCTTCTTCTGCCATGAGAATCTTATTAAAACCTGCGTATTCGTCCATGAATGAGAGAAGTGCGTGATTTACTGTGTTATCCACCAGAATATCGATGTGTGGTAAAGGGAAGTCGTCTTTTAGACTTGCCTTATTTAGATCTTGATAGTCGACACATATTCTTACTCTTCTATCTTTTTTCGAACTGGGACGACGTTGGCGACCTATTCGGGGTATTTTGATACCTTGATGAAACCTGCAGTTATTTGTTTTTGAACTTCTTCTTTTATTTTAAGAGCTACGTCGGGTTTCATTCGACGTAACTTTTGTTTTACAGGTTTCATTCCCGGAATTAGTGGTATAGTGTTTTAAGATATTTTTCTATTAATACCTAGCATATCTTCGTATGACCAAGCAAATACATCGATGAATTCTTTAAATAAATTAATTAAATCGGTTCTTTCTTGTTCATTAAGTGTTAGTCCGATTTTAACTTCTCTTTTATTGGTTAAATCATTTGAGATATCAACCGTCTCAGTTTCTTCAATTATCGGTGTTTTCTTTTCAAGTGTTTCCATTGCTTTAATAAGTTCTTTGTCTTTTTCATTGTTAATTAAGCAATGCTCGTCATATTGGGTTAAAGAAAAACACAAGAAGTAAGGAGAAGAAGTTATATTATTATACTCTGAGATCATTACATCAAAGAGTGATATGTCCTTAGGGACTTGATCACTAACTATTCTAGAAGAAGAGAAAGAAGGGGGAGGTGCTACTACTAAAGACCTAGATGACTCTATAGGGAGAGACTCTGACTCTGACTCTGACTCAGACGACTCTTCGAACATTGGTCCTTGCCTTGTCGTGATGGATATCTTCCTTCCACTTGTAGTAGTCACCTTGACTGTCTTGCGCCACCCTTGTAGTGACCCTTTGTGGGACTGTTTGAATGAGCGAGGAGTTATCCTCTTTGCATGTCGGCTCATCCTTTTCTCGCCCAAATAATAATCCCATGACGTTAAAGTCAAAGCATGGGGGTGCTTTCTCCTTATGGACAGGAGTTGGAATTTCATCTATGAAATAGCAATCCAAGAAAATTTCAAATCCCGGTTGCCTTATGCTGTTTACAACAAATGGTTCAGGAAATTCGTGGCATGGATAGTCCTCTCCTTCTTTTATGAATTGACCATTAAGGGTGAGAGGGTACTGATCCATTGTGATTGCTTTCTTTTGAATGCAAGCGTCCCTACATGCCTTCGATTTTTCCTAGGCTCGCTTAAGACCTTTCTGAATCGGTTCGAAACCAAGTCCGAAAGTATATAATTTAGGGATTCCAGGTGACTCCAGCGGTTTTGCTATTCCCTTTTTCTTTCCTAGGATCGTCCCAGGAAAATGTCGTTGTTTCTTCAGAATAGCATTCACGATCATGTTAGAATGGGGGTCGTGGAAGAGAGGGGTCCTTTCATCCTCCTGGATTAAGCAGACCTCTTCGTTAAAGCCCCATAAATCTTCATCATCCTCATCGTGCTCCACGTTAATTATTAGATTTTCTACTTGATTCTCATAGGTGAAGCATCGATGGTGATAGGAATTCCCCCAACTATGGATTTTACTTGTTGGTGAAGAGATGAAGGGACGGCCTTTAGGTCATGAAGCCAAGGGCGTCCCAACAATAAATTGAATGAAGCTTTAATATCTACTACTTGGAAAGCAGTAGCATGTTCTATCGCTCCCGCCGTTACATTCATGGTAATTTTACTAAGAGCTTGACGACGAGTGTTATCGTAGGCTCTAATTCCTTGTGTTGACGGGGTTAAGTCTTCATCCCTCATGCCTAGCATCCTCGTAATTCTAAGTGGACAAACGTTAATGGTTGATTGTTGTCTACAAGAGTCATAGGGACGTTCATTCTCTTGCAAATTATTGTGAGGTTTGACGCCTTATAGTGTTTGTCACCTTCTGGGGGCAAATTCTTATCAGAAAAGGTGATCAAATTGATGGGACAAGGTAGATCACTCGTGAGGAAGTTAGCCAACCCCTCAGAAGTGGTGTCAGAATCTATCCCTATTTTGTCTAAGGCATTCATTACAGTCTACCTATGTTCTCTAGATGTCGCCAGAAGTTTCCATACGTTCATTTCAACTTTTATCTTCTTTAACTGTTTGACGATATCATTATCTTCAATGATAGGCATGGGAACTTGATGTGTGGTTGGCATGGGTTGTGTCAAAACGGGAGGTTGCATTATCCCGGATCTTATGAGGACGTCTATTGATGAATCTTCTTCAACCCAAAAGTCATCCATGGCATATGATACTGAAGGTGGAGGTCCTACCATGTCTTTTAAGTAGACGTCTTCTTCGTCACTGTCCCAAACTTCATTAATACTTGCATCCTCTTCTTGTGGAACTTGGACTAGCTTCTTTTCATCAATCATTTTCTAAATTAAATCCATAAATTTAAAACAGTTTTCGATAGTGTCACCCCCTGATTGATGATATTTACAGTAATTAAAATCATAAAGCATAAATAAATAATCACAAAGAAAAGATAACGAATCTTACCCTCGAAGCGAGCTTCGCCCAAAAATCGGGGCTCTTACTTGAAAGCTACGAGCACGTCAAGCGCCGCGCCTCCGACGGTATCCACCCACAAAAAGGCGAACACAACTTTAAGGTCCGCTACCTTGGGGTTAGCAAGGTCCGACCAAAACCCGAGTGTTATTAGAGGTTAAGAGTTTTCCCAAAAATATGAAATGCTCTTTCTAACTCCCACTCAAGCAAAGAATTCTCAAGCCATGCCATGACTATTTATAAGGAAGTATGCCTTATGAATTTCACTCATCTTTCAATGTGGGACTTTTCACAAAAAGATCCCACATGGAAAGATTGGTGAATTCAACCCTTAGTTAAATAAATAAAGGAACAAGTAACAAGCGTCACATGGTTAGGTGTGGACCACTTTCTCACTTGGTCCCCAAGGCATTTCACATACAATGTGAACTAACCAGGTGTCACCCAACCTTGAGCCCCAAGTTGGGTTCGGTTGGCCCATTTTATTTTGGCCCGTGTCAATGACCCATCAACCCGGGCCCACGGCCATTCCCACATGTGTCGCCACTGTGGCGCGCCGCCACCATGGTGCTGCCACGTGGCACGCTGCCAACGTGGCATGCTGCCACTAGGTGGCTGCCAACGTGGCTGCTGCCACTTGGCGGCTACCAACGTGGCGGCCACGTGTGCTGCCACATGGTGTTTCGCCATGTGTGCTGCCACGTGGCATGCTCCTATTGGGCATGCATTCCTAGCCTTTTGCGTGGCTAGGATTTTACTTGTTACTTGATGCATTTTCCCGTCTCGCCAAATCCTAAATTTTTGGCTCGACATTTGAGATTCTCCGACGCTCGGTTTCGACGCTCCAAGCTCGAATTTCCGACGTCTAAATGTTTAACACTCGGGCGACGAATTAATTTTTTCCGAATTAATTCGTCGAGTTGGTTCGTATATTTTGCTTGGGTGTGACCCGAAGGGTTCAGTCAAGATTAAGTTGTAATATTAATTATATTAATATTACTGATCGGAAGCGGCCTCCACCTAGGCATTCCGATCACTTGACCTTACTGAATATATTAGCTTTCCAATAATTCTGAACCCGCTATCAGAATAATACACTTGTTCGAAGGACACCATTCCTTTCACCACCTTTGTTCAATGGTAAGTTCCATGCCTACTGGAAGAACAGGATGGAGATCTTCATCAAGGCTGAAAATTACCAGGTTTTGCGTGTTATTGAAACTGGTGATTTTGAAATAACTACAACCAATGACAAACATGAGGTAGTTTCTTAATCTATTTCTGATTATGACAAAGAAGATTATCAGAAACTTGAACTGAATGCTTTAGCAATAAAGTATTTGCACTGTGGACTTGGACTTCATGAACATAACCGTATCATGGGATGCAAGTTTGCCAAACAGATTTAGGATTTGCTACAGGTAACTCATGAAGGTACTAACGAGGTAAAACGTTCTAAAATAGATTTATTGATGTCTAGGTATGAAAGGTTTGAAATGCAACCTAAAGAAACCATAGAAGAGATGTTTACCAGATTCAATGATATTATTAATGAACTGAACTCCCTTGGCAGGCATATTCCTATTGATGAACAGGCAAGGAAGATCTTAAGAAGTCTACCACAAGATGAACGCTGGAGATCCAAGGTTAATACTATGTAGGAAGCTAAGGATTTCACCAAGTTTAATATGGAAAAACTAGTTGGATCATTGATGACACATGAACTTCATCTGAGTTCCAATACTTAAAGTTCCAGAAGTAAAAGCCTTGTACTTAAGGCTCAAGATTCAGAAGAATCGGAAGTTGATGAGGAAGAGATGGCTATGCTAGTGAGGAAATTTAAAATGATGATGAATAATAAGAAGTTCGACAGGAACAAGAAGTTCACAAGTTCCAGAAACACAACGTGCTTCAGGTGTGGGTCAAAAGATCACTTCATTAAGGATTGCCCTGTACAGGATGGAGAGAAAGGAAAGACAAAAGGCAAAGAGCAATCCAAAGAGTCAAAAGTCTATAAGCCTTACTTCACCAAGGACAATGTGAAGAAAGCCATGCTAGCTGCTTGGGGAGATACAAATTCAGAAGAAGAGGAGGACCAACCATTAGAAGAAACCGCTCATTTATGTTTAATGGAAAAAACTGATGAAGCTGCCAAACTAAAGGAGCTTGAGTCTGAGGTATGGTTCTCTTACAATCAATTAAAACATCTGTCTAAAGAGAATCTAATAAATACTGTTTTGGAAATTCAAGAAGATTTAAAGGAACTACATAGATCCAAACGGCAAAGTGATAAAGCTTTAGTTACTTACAAAGAGAACAGTGAATGGGTTGATAACATGAAGTTTGACATTCAATACAGGTTCTTTAGTATGTTTGATGATAATAAAAATTTAAAAGAGACTATAGAGAATCTGAAACAAGATAACATACTCCTTAATGTGGAATTGTCTTTGTTAAAAATTAGTGCCGATACTCTTAACTCTGAAGTTCCTCCACCTACTGATTATCCGAATTTTGAAAAATTAAAACATGATTTGGAAGATTTAAAAACGGATAAGGCACGTCTTGAGGGGGAACTTGAGAGAGCTAGGAAAGGTAAGCAACCAATAGAGTATAGAGTTCCTGATTGGATTACTAAGGCTCAAACCAAGAATACTGAAGGCTTAGGTTTTAAAAACAAGTTCCAGAAAGAAAAGAAGTATGTCAACTTGCCTAGTAGCATGGTTTGTTATTTCTGTGGCAATACAAGACATAAGCAGGTTAAGTGTCCTAAGAAAAAACAAAGCACACAGAAGAATGTCAAACATGTAGAACAAATATGGATCAATAAATATGAATTAACTCCTGTTACATAGGAACCCAAGGAAACCTGGGTTCCTGACTCTAACGTTTAATTCTTCTTGCAGGTTCCAGTGAGGGGGAACAACACTTGGTACCTCGACAGGGGTTGTTCTAAGCACATGAGTGGAGATGAATCTAGATTTCTCTCACTGGATGCCTACTATGGTGGAACAGTGATCTTTGGTGATAATATGTAAGGTGATATAATTGCTATTGGAAAGATAGGAAGGTCACGTTCCCATGCCATTGATAATGTATTTTTAGTCGAGGGCCTTAAACACAATTTGTTAAGTATTTCACAGTTTTGTGACAAAGATAATTCTGTTAGCTTTACTTCTAATAAGTGTAGAATCATCCAAAATGACACTAGGAACATTATTTTGGAAGGAACTCGTAAAGGGAACACATATATTGTGGATCTTAATGAGGTTCCTAACAGCAGTTTAACATGTCTTAGTGTTATTGAGGATGATCCTCTTTTATGGCACAGAAGGTTTGGCCATGCAAGCTTTTCTTTACTTGATAAAATAAGATCTAAGAACTTAGAGGAAGGACTTCCTTACATTAAGTTCCTGTATGACAAAGTGTGTGAAGCTTGTGCTAAAGGAAAACAGACCCGAATTTCCTTCAAGTCCAAAAAGATGGTAAGTACCAAAAGACCTTTAGAACTCATTCATATGGATCTTTGTGGTCCAATGAGAATCCAAAGTAGAAGTGGTAAGAAATATGTAATGGTTATTTTTGATGATTTTTCAGGGTTCACTTGGGTTTTCTTTCTTGTAAGTAAGGATGAAACGTTTAATGATTTTGTTGCTTTTGTAAAGAAAGAACAGAGAAGAACAGGCAATCAATTGATACATCTTAGATCAGATCATGGAACAGAATTCGAGAATTCAAAATTTGATGAATTTTGTACTGAGTATGGTATGGATCACAACTTCTCTGCCCCAAGAACTCCACAACAAAATGGAGTGGTGGAACGCAAGAATAGGAGCCTGGAAGACATGGCAAGGATAATGTTGATATCAAGCAGGCTGCCTAGGAACATCTGGGCTGAAGCAGTAAACACAACATGTTATATACTTAACAGAGTATATGTTAGGGCCATCACCAATAAAACTCCCTTTGAACTTATGAAAGGGAGAAAGCCTAATATTTCCTACTTTAGATCTTTTTGATGCAAAAGCTTTGTTCACAATAATTGTAAAAGGAACTTGGGTAAATTTGATGAAAGTAGTGATGAGGCAGTATTCCTAGGATATGCCTCGAATAGTAAAGCTTACAGAGTCTATAATAAAAGGACTATGTGTGTTGAGGAGTCTGTACATATTATATTTGATGAAACTGAACATTTGGTTGATGTACAGGATTGTGATGATGATTTCAAAATTGGACTTGTGCGTAAGCAGAATCCAGATGAGGAACCAGCATCACAGCAGAAGCAGCAAGTTGAAATTGCTGAAGTAACGAATCCTGAAGCAAATGTTGAACTTGAGATGGAGAATACACCAGGAACTCCACTTCAAGAACACATTGATGTCCATAATGTAAGACCAGAATGTGGAAACACCTGAAGAAGTTCAAACTGAGTTCCATGAAAAGTTCCTACAGAAGAACCAGTCAACAATAATGAAGAAAAATTGTATCCAATCAAGAATTTCACTCCAAGGCCCTGGAAATATCAGAAATCACATCCAGTTGATGCAATCATGAGTGATATCACAAAAGGAACTCAAACCAAATCTCAGCTTAGGAACTTCTGTGCATTCAATGCATTCCTTTCCTCCATGGAACCTAAGAATTATGTTGAAGCTTTAAATGACACTGACTGGATTAATGCTATGCAAGCTGAATTAAATGAATTTGAAAGAAATAAAGTTTGGCATCTGGAACCTAGACCAACAGATAAGAAGTCCATTGGACTAAAATGGGTATTCAGAAACAAACCAGATGACATGGTATTATTGTCAGGAACAAAGCAAGACTAGTTGTATAAGGTTTCAACCAGCAGGAAGGAATAGACTATGAAGAGAAATTTGCTCCAGTAGCCAGGTTAGAGGCAATTCGTTTACATATTGCCTTTGCTGCTTATATGGGATTTAGGCTGTACGAGATGGATGTTAAATGTGCTTTCTTAAATGGATATTTAAATGAGGAAGTCTATGTGGAACAACCTCCTGGGTTTGAAAATCCAGAGTTCCCAAACCATGTCTATAAGCTTGACAAAGCTCTTTATGGGTTAAAACAAGCTCCTAGAGCATGGTATGAAAGATTATCTAAGTTCCTTTGGCTAATGGTTTTAAACGTGGTAAAATTGATAAAACATTGTTTTTAAAGTCAAATGGAACTGATATCTTAGTTGTACAAATTTATGTTGATGATATTTTATTCGGTGCAACTAACGAATCTCTATGCAAGTATTTTGCTGACCTTATGAGTGGAGAATTTGAAATGAGCATGACTGGAGATTTAAATTTCTTCCTTGGCTTGCAAATCAAGCAAACTGAAGAGGGAATCATGATTCATCAGCAAAAATATATTAAGGAACTGATCAAGAAATACAAGTTGGAAAATGCCAAAACCAATAATACTACTATGGGAATTTCTACTAGATTAGATGAAGATCCATCTGGAACTTGCATTGATCAATCTATGTATCGAGGTATGATAGGCTCACTTCTCTACTTAACAGCTAGCAGACCTGACATATCTTTTAGTGTAGGTCTGTGTGTCAGGTTCCAAGCAAATCCAAAGGTTTCTCACCTAACAGCAGTAAAGAGAATTCTAAGATACTTGAAAGGAACTGATGATTTGAGTCTCTTCTATCCCAGAAGTGATTCTTTTGATTTAAATAGTTTTACTAATGCTGACTATGCAGGTGATTTGATTAATAGAAAAAGCACTTCAGGTATGGTACAATTTTTAGGTCCCTTTTTAGTCTCTTGGGGTTCCAAGAAGCAAAACACAGTTGCTTTATCTACTGCAGAAGCTGAATATGTGGCAGCGGCAGCATGTTGCTCACAAGTTCTATGGATAAAACAACAGGTCAGAGATTTTGTTATTATTTTTGAATGTGTACCTATTTGCTGTGATAATACTAGTGCTATATGTATTTCTAAGGATCCAGTTCAACACTCAAAGGTAAAACACATCCACATTAGGCATCACTTTCTAAAAGATAATGTGGAGCAAGGGAATATAAAGTTAGAATTTTGTCAAACTGAAAATTAAATTGCAGATATTCTAACCAAGCCCTTGAACAGAGAAAGATTTGAGAAATTGAGACTGGAACTTGGGATGATCAAGCTGAAGTACTAGCCTCTGAAGTTCCAAGATATGGAAAAGTCAAAAATAATGTAAATAAAGCAAAAAGAGTTTCTACCACAACCTTGGTGTGATAAACATAGCTAAAGTGTCACCGTTGTTAACTACCAAAGGTAAGTTCATTAAATTGCTCAACGGTATAGGTTATTAAATTTTTACATTGCACATATGTAAAAAGCGTGTTCCAATTGTGTTTTGTAGAAACTTCGTTTAAAATTAATTGAATTTGGAAAGTTAAGTTTCTGAAAGAATCATCCAGTAATTTGAAATTTGAAAAATTAATTGAATTTGTTCAATTAATGACTGAACAGTGAAACTTCCTAAATTCCCTCACACCGCTTCATTTATTATAAAAGTTGATTTCACCCACTTCTTTCACCTCACTGTCAAATCAAATTAAACCCTTCCCAGTAAAAACTCTTTCAACCTTTTATAAAAACCTTTCCTAAAGCATCAATGGTGATCATTGCTGAATTTGTTTCCTCAGAAGTATCACAACACTCAAAAAACACAATTCAAGAAGAAACTTTTCCCTTAGCCATGGTAAACTACAAATCATCTTCTATCTCAAACAAAACTCCCGAAAACCCTAGGAATTCTCCTCTAAAACCAAAAGAAGTTGAAAGTAAAAGCAATCAAGGGGATTCCTCTGTTTTAAGCATTCTTCAACGACTAAAAGAGTGGAAAGAAAAGAAACAAAGTGAAAAGTCTCTTGAAGAGAAAATTGAGGAAGTTGACGAGTTTGCTCAAGGGAAAAACTCAGACGAGACAACAGAGGAGAATAAAGTAGAAGAAGAGATGAGTGAGGGAGAAGAAGAAGATAAAGAGGAGGAGAACAATTCAGAAAAGGAAGAATCTGAAAAGGAAGATGAAGAAAAGGAAGTGGCTGATCAAGCGGAACTTGAGTCACAGGCTGGAAGGTATGTAGTTGGTCATCGCATTGATGTTGTTTGGTGTAGAAAAGCAAGATTTCTAGAATTTCTTGATTTAATTAAGTTTCAAGGTTGGGAATTTCTGATGTCAAGAGTTTCAGCAAACTATATGTACCCTGTAGCTATGACTGAATTTTGCCAAAATTTTCAAGCAAAATTAGGGATAATTTCAAGTGTCGTTAATGGGGTAAAAATCGAATTGAACATTGAAACCCTAGGTAAAATTCTGAAAACTCCTACTGAGGGGTATGACACTTATATTAAGGGAAAGGGAAGTGTCAATATAGGTAGTTATTTGACTGGTTATATTGTTGAGGCCTTAGGTGGTTAGAGAGGGAAGAAGGTCATGAGTCATAATGATCTTAGTCCCTTAAACAAGCTGTTGTTTAATTTGGTAAAGAAGACTATTCTGCCTAGGACTGCTAAAAAAGGGGAAGCATGCTTGATGGATATGGCAGTAATTTTCTGTATTTCAAAGAAGATTAAGGTCAATTTTCCTTCTTTAATGTACCAGCACTTAGCACATTGTGTTCCCAGTAGGACAAAAGTGGGGTATGGAGCCATTTGAGAATGCTGGAGTAGTTTTGAAGGGTAATTATGGGGCTTTGGATGAAAAGCCAGAAAATGTGATTAATGAGGAAACCCTGGCTGGGTTAAGTTTGGAAGTGGTGCAAGGAAAGATTCAGAAAATAGAGAAGGGAGAGAAAAAGAAAGAGAAAGTGACAGGAAAGAGGAAGGAAAAGGCTGTATCTGAGCAGCCTGTGAGAAAGAGCAGGAGGATTTCTGCCAGTGTTGTTCCTCAAACCAATATGGAACAGCCACTGGAGTTGGATGTTGAGGAAGATATCCTCAATGGGCAAGTTGCTGAGTTAGTGGATAGAATGGAACGGGTTGAAAGTCAAATGAAGGATTCTGCTGGAAAGCTTCAGGTGATGACCCTAGAAAAGTTGGTACAGGAGAAGGGGAAGGAGTTAAAGGAACTCAGGAAGATGGTGCTAAAACAAAACAAGGAACTTCAAGAGTAAAAGGAGTTTCAAGAGCAAGAACTGAACAAGGCACTATAGGAATAGAAGGAGGAGTTCCTTGTGAAACTCAAGGGTGTTGAAGAAAATTTGGAGACCTCTGCACAACAGACAAAGGAGGACTTCAAGAAAATTCTGGAATTCCTTGAAACCTAGCCTGCCCTATTTCATATTCAGCCTAGCCTATTTTCTCTGTTTCAGTCATGAACAATTTTAATTTCTGTTTTTAGTATTTGAACAGTTAATTTTGTTTGTAAATTTTTTAAATTGTTCAACTGGATGATAAATATTTTTGGTCTTTAATGAAATGTTGGAACTCTGCTTATACTTGTGTGTTTATGTGTATTTTGAACACTTATGCTGAAGGGTAGAACTTACTTGAGGTTGTTTAGCAGCGCTGCCTTTAGTTTCCCACACTCGATGAATTGCTTGTGGGGCTGTGGGTAGATGCTTAATACACTTGAAAAAGCAGGACTTTTTGATAATGCCAAAAGGGGGAAAAGAAGAAGCAAACAGGGAGGCTGAAGTTGTTCTGGGTTCCAGTTGATAAAGTATCAGAACTTCCTTCTGATATGATGCTGATAGATTAGTTTATTTTTGTCTTATTTCTGTCTATTTTTTCTTTTAGTTTTTGTTTTCAATTCAGTAGTGTATTTACTTTTGTTTATAAGTCAAAAATACAAAAATACGTCCTTCTATTTTGTTTTAACTTTCTCTAGAGTTTGCTTAAGTTTGTCATCATCAAAAAGGAAGAAATTGTTGATGTTTAAAGGTTTTGATGATGAGGAACTTAAACTACAGCAAACTCATTTAATAAAGGTTTTTGAAGTGTTTGTTTAGTTTAGGTGAAATTGATCTTGGAGATGGAAGATGTAACTGAAACTAAGAAGACTTGAAGAAGTTCCTTATTCAAGAAGGTTATTCGAAACAGAAGAAGTGTTCCCTCACAGGAACTGAGTTCCCTAACAGGAACGTTCCTTTACAGGAACTTGAAGATGGTTGGCTAAGATCTTTGGAGGAACTTAGTAAGCGTGGATTCCAAGTAAACCTACCAGTACAGGAGCGCGGTGCAGCAATGATTTAGTTAAGATTTTATCTTCTAGATTCATTGTTGAATATGTTAAGTAGGATATGCGTGAAGTCTATTAGAAGCGTGGAAAGTTAGCTTGGAAAATAAATTAAAATCGGAAAAGATAAAAGATAGAATTCGAAAAAGATTTTCTTTAAATGTTTATTTCTTAAAATCAGTTTGTTAAAAAGATATTATGCTTTTTAACTCAATCTTTCTATATTATTTTTCGGAAAATATTTTCTTCTAATGATTTACATAAAAACCGTGTATAAAGATAAGTTAAGTTTAACTTATTTATCTTTAAGAAAACCTACTTTCTATACAAGTAATACTTGTATAAATAGTAGAGAAAAAAGGAGTTTAGGTTTTTTGTGAGTTTTATGCGTGAAGAATTTACAGAGCTTTAATTGTGTAAGTTTGCAAAGCTTATCATCTTGTCATATTAGTTTCGGGTTTCATGCATAGCTTTCCTATCATATACTAGGTGTCTTTACTTGTAATTGGTTTGGGTTATTTAGGTAAGAGTGTTTTTGTTATCATTGCATACAGAGAGAGAGCTTCTGTTGAGAAGTTGAGAAGATCTGTGCTTAGGGAGTATGAGAGAGAGTCTAAGTGTGGGACTTAGACTGGGTAGAATAGAATCCTATTCTGTAGCAAGTTCGTTCAGGAACTTGTGAGTAGAGGTTTGATTATAATAGGTTGTAACTTGGTGTTTGCCCTATTATAGTGAAATTGTTTGTGTTCAAAATCCCTAAGGTAGGGTCGAGGTTTTACTTCTAGTTGGGCACTAGAAGGTTTCCTCGTAAAATCCTGTGTGCATTGTAAGTTCCTATTTTATTCTATGTTTAATTTAAAAGTAGTCACTAGGAACTCACCTACAATTCACCCCCCCCCTTCTTGTAGTGTTCGTCTCAACTAACAAAAATGTTTCGCCTCGTAAGTCATTCCCATGGGTTTGAACTCTCTCTTAGGTTCATTTTTTGGGAGTGGAACCTCGTCATATTTCTTCTGAAGTTCCTTTATAGCCTTAAGAGTTTCACGTAGCAAGTGCGATCCTTCCATCATAGACAGTGTGAGTGATTGTATGTCCTCTTTACTTGCTAGTTCTGGAAGGTTATCCATGGCGTCGAAAAAGATCTCCTCCTCTTCTTCGATTGCATGGATTTTTTTTAACAGGTTTGATGACAGACGAGGGATCAACCTCGTTTTCCTCATCAGAGATGGCCAAGGAGTGAGCGAGAGGCGCATTATCAATACTTGGCTTCTTACTGGCAGGGGGCAATGGAATCTTGTTGTTGTCGATTAAGTCTTGGATAGCTTCTTTAAGCTTCCAACAATTCTCGGTGAAATGGCCCCTACCTTGGTGATACTTGCAATGTGCATTGGGTTTCCAGTTAGCCAACCTCTTTTTGACTAGTGGGTCTCCAAATGGTCTAATAAGAGTTATAAGATCTTTTGCATTTAATCGGTCAAATGCGGTGTCATAACTCATGCCAATAGGAGTAAAGTTCCTCCTAAATGGTTTCTTTTGTCCTTGATTATTCATAGCAAGGACTTCACCTAGGTTGAAAGTTCTAACATTGTTTGAGTGGGTGGTTTTGGAAGAAGAATGATTGTCGTTCTTCTTGCCTTTCCATCCACTGTTGGAGTTATTGTTGGCAGCTTTCAACTTCGCCAGGTCATCTTCAATATTGATTCCAATGTCGTAGACGGCCTTGAAGGTATGGAGATTATTCTGATATTTGAGATGCTTGGAGTATTTTTTCTTGAAGGTTTTTGATGAATAACCTTACGGACTCTTTTTCACTGGGCACCTCAATCATCTTAGCTGAGGTTTCTCTCCATTTGTTAAAGAAGGAGGTGAAGCCTTCATTCTCCTTCTGCTTGAGGATTTCAA